CGTCGTCCAGTCTATCCGTGGGTCGTGTCGTCGCATCCAATCACGGCCGAGTAAAATTTCGGTCCCGTCGAGGGTCGTGGATAAAATTTCCTGGGTGAAAATTAAGTTACCCCCGCAGTAAATCCGAACTCGGTCCACGCGTTCCCGTATCGCCAGTGGCGTACCGTCGACCAGTCGTGCGCCGATCTCAGGTAAGCACCGGTCCAATGTCATTTGAAGTCTCTGTACAGTGGGATATTTATTAAGCTGTGGCTAGCCCCCCCCGCCTACGAAGATTTTAACTAAGTCGGTGTGAATCTTCCCACTAAGCAGCATGAGACTGTCTACCGTTGAACCCTCCTTGTTCAGCCAGGTGTGGTCGACTGTATGAATCGGCACTGTCACTCGGTGAGGGCCGGTTGGGTTGGGCGAGTGGCGTGAGCAGTCAATAGAGGGCCCGTCTGCTACTGTCTCCCAGCGTTTCCCTGCTGTTTGGTCTGTTTCTGCTGCTCTACTCCTTCTTTTCCCTTTGCTTCCAGGCATTCGCTTTTGCGGTGCCCCGGCCAATTCCATGTGAAGCAACACCCTTTGAATGGAGTGGCAGCAGCATTCGCAGCGACGGCGCGTATCGTGGCGTGCTTGTTCGTTCCTCAAGGCCGGTGTCCCCAGTTGCTGCTGCTACGGTCGGCGGAGAAAATCAAGTTTCTCGGCCATGGCAAGAATTTTGTTGAATTCATGACGCTGCGAAGCAGGACTTCTCGCGCGATTTTGTGTTTCAGACCGCCGTCATAGCGATCGATGCGCTCGAATTCATGCATGTATCCCACCGTCAGAAACCCACTAATACAGTCTTGAACAGAACCGAGTTGGCGCCAAGTGCGGAGCTTCTGACGCGCGGAAATCGACGCCGCGATTGGCTCAAATCTCCCGTGTAGACTTGTGCACCACGCGTCCCACGTGCGATACTGGGCTACCTCCACGAAATACGACGATGCCCAGGGTCCAATTGGTCCTTCCCGTGGCGGTAGAGCCTCGTAGTCGCTCGGTTTCGTGACGATGACACGCCACCAATCCATGGCGGGTCCTCGCAGTAAAGACACGGCGTAGCGAAGTTTCGCCGCATCCGACGAGACGTAGTTCGCGTCGAAAAATACGTTCATGGTGAAGATCCACGCCTGAACCGTCGTACCACCCTATTGACTCAGATCGAAGCTTGGCAGGCGCTGCGGCTTGAGGGGCATTGGTGAAGGGAGAGCCAACTCATCGATCTGTGTCGCAATGTTGACGCGACGTTGACTTCCAGCCGGGATGTGTCGTCTCGTGGTCATCGCAAACGCTGTTGCGTGCGACGCCATCACTAGCAGTGCTCGAGTGTTTTCCCACACCCTCGTGTTGGGCGTTGGATCGAATGGTGCTCCTTGTGTTGCTGTTCCTTGCGTTTGTGTTTGTTGTGCCCGGGTGATGTCATTTTGCAGTGACGCGCGTTCTGCCGTCAGTGTGGCGATTTCCTCGCGACTTTCGTGCAGTTGGTGTGTTAACTCGTTCAGGTGCTCCCGTGCCAGGTTAGCGAGGTCAATACGTTCTCCCATGTGGAAGGACGTCGGCCGGTCTAGGTGCTAGGCGTAGTCGTTGCTGCACGTGCTTGCGAGAGAGCGTGAGGGCAGCGGCTCCTAGTACGCTAAGGGGCATGAGTCCCTTCGAGTGAAAACTCAAATGTTGACTTCTGATGGGTGCGGAAATGCGCGGTCCGAAAGGAAAGTGGCTCTGATACCAAGTGTTACGGGTGCGATGTATTAAGGTAGCTCGGATTGCACTACCGTATCGCCGCAGATAGAACCGCATGCGCTTATATATGGAGCAATGCGCTTATGGCCGATCCTCAATTAGAAGCGCATCCCTTATAAAATTGTTACTTATTATAAGCGCACCCTTGCAGTAAACAAAAAAGTACTTGTTGAATATTTGTCATTATTGTTAGAGCTAAAGCAAGGCTAGCCTTCATTAGTTGTAATTTTGCACTAGCTAAAAGTTTCACATACAATATGGTGACTATTGTCCTAGCCTAAACACCATCATCTTGCCTAGTCTAGCCTTAGGCCTCCTCTTCCTCCACGTCCGATTGAAGCTCCGTGGCGTTGTTGCCCCAGAACCCGTCTGCTTAGATGTCGTCGTCTACCTCTATCTTGTGGCTCAGCTGGCTTCTCCGGTGCGCCATCACTAGATGGTCTTCGCTCCCATCAAGGGCATTGCTGATGCCGCACGTGAGGAAGGCTTTCTTAATCAGGTCTGCGGGCACGGCCTTCCACACCCGTGAAATCCACTTGAGCACCACCGTCGGGGGTGGTTTCTTGATGTTCCCTGCACCACATGAAAGGGAGTGGGGAACACATTAGGCAGACAAGCACACGAAGGGGAGACGGGAGGACATGTCGTCGCTCACCTGCAGGTGTCAGAATGTTCATGCCGTCCGCCTCAAACCAGGACTGGTACTGCTGGCGAACACTCGCTTTGAAGCTCTTGTTCACCGACACATCAAGCGGCTGCACGTCTGCCGTGCATCCTGCCGGGATGACCGCCGGCACGATGTTGAGCGCCGCGAATCTCGCCCTGACTTCCTTGGTAAGGTGACCACGGTAGGATTCGAGTACTAGCATGGCGCTCCGACTCTGCACGCCGAATTTTGGTTTCAAGAACGGCACCACGCCCTCATCGAGCCACTGGATTTTGCCCGTGGCCTCCATCCACCCGTTCGCTTGGCAGCCGACCACGACATCTGCACACAAGCAAGCGGTGGTTAATCCCTTTTTTGTTTTGAACATCCAAAACACGCACAAGAACATATGCTTACCGTTCGGGAAGTCACCCTTTGGCAGTGTCTTGCGCTTGAAAAACACCCACGGCTTCAACTTCTCGCCTGTCGCCGTGCACGCCAGCATCACGATGACTCTTTCTTTCTTGTAACCACTGCTGCGGATGGGCACCGAATTCACGCCCGTCTGCTCCACGGTGGTAGTGGCCATCATCTCCAACCAAAGAGGCGTCTGGTCGGCGTTGATTATGTATCGATTGTCAATCGCATACTCATTGCGTGCGTCGCAGACGAACTGCCAAAATTCTCGGCATCTTCTCGCGTGGTGCGTCGCGCCACCATGACTCCACACCGTCGTCGTCCTCGGCAGCTGCACCACGATCTGGGAACACGTCCTCCTCGGCGCCCGCTTCACCGTCGCCGACACCGTCGCCGTCGTCGCTGTTTTGTTTATTGGCGGCCACGTCATCGTCGGCGCCCACAGCCGACTCGTCCCACGTGCAAGCTTCAGGTTGTCCCAACCGTGGTGCAGGCGGCGGAGCCTGGATGAACACATCGGGGGCCTTGGGTGTGTCCGGTTCAGACAGCCACTCGTCGAAAGTGGCTGGTATTTACAGCTGGAGCACGGGCCATTGGTGAGCACTGGCACCGATATCAGGCGGATACGGAGGAGCGAGAGGAGCGGGAGGAGCAAGAGGAGCAGGAGGTGCAGGAGGAGCAGGAGGAGCAGGGGGCGCAGGGGGTTCAGGTGGCACTGGAGGCGCTGCTGGCTCACGGGTATACCACCCGTCGTCGGTAAGTCGCCACGGGCGAGCTGGTTTTTTCTTGAAGAGGAAGTGCGTCCCACTGAATTCCGCCATGGCTTCGCCAGCCAGGCGGCCTAGACTGAAATTTGAATGAAAAAAAATGAGAAAGAGGGTGCACAAATGGGCAACAAAGGGGACCCCATAAGGTTGGCGCCTCGGGGTCCTCGTCAATGACAGGCGGGAAACCCCCGCCTACCCCCGTAGAGGACCCTGCGTGGCAGCATAAACGCTGGCAGGGAATCTTCCCCACCCTTCGAGAGGTTTCGGAAGAAATGCACATGCCACGCAGGGCATGCGGCTGTGATTGGGCCACACGGCAACATCGCCGTCACTGCTGTCACGTTCGATGGTTCTAGACAAAACTGTGTGGTGGGAAACCGAACCGCTGCTGTTTTTGCCTGAAAACCATGCACGATCCCACGTGTTGCATGGTCGGTTGAATTCGCCTTATTGTGGGCTTCAATTTGGTCTGTTTAAAAGTGATTTTTTTTTCCTATTACAAGCGCATGCGCTGCCAACTCAAACTGACAGAATGACAGCACATGCTGACTAGATGCGCAAAAGGTGAGATCAGAGTGTTGGAAATCGAATTTGTAGTTCGTTTCCCTGATAATGGGAAATTTGTTTCTGTATTTCGTCAGGTTTTCAAATGAGAAACCAACATGCACTTATAATAAATCATCTTTTTTTAGGGGTTGGGCTTAAAATCGAGGACCGGATATAAGCGCCCTCATCCTTTTATAAGCGCCGGGCCTGCGCTTCTATTCGGGGGCTTACGGTAATTGGGTTGTAGCCGTTATGGACTACCTACCCCACTGTAGCCTACACAATATAAGCATTATGCCATTTTGACACTTCTATCCTAGGTGATACGGCATTTTGTAAAGATCAGCATTGACAACGTGAACACAAGCTGCATTAGCACTTTTGGGTTGGCATACCGGTAAGGGATGCAGTATAACCTAAATAATAAATATACCTACCGCTAACTCAATATTCTAGAAGCTTAGCAGACACGGGATTTAAGGGATCCAAGACCCCAACACCATAGTATGGTACCAATCATCAAACCCTAGGGCCCAGTCCTTTCAACCCTGGACCTGAGCCTCGTTGCGATAAAAGCAGGTGGTAATAAAACCCGCTACACATCCCTTCTCTCGTCTCCTTCCTATTCTAAACTGTCCTCTTCTAATCACTGAACATCAAATGCCCAACAATCAGCCCAGTCAGGGGACTTGAAAGTTTAGAAATATCTCAGATCCTCAGTCCTGCCTAAAAATCCTAGCACTCCCACTCACACACCCTCACTCTTCAGCTTCGAGAGGGCCGATGCCTTGCCTTCACGCTCCCAGCTTCAATCACTGCCTCAAAAATCTTACCTCGTCTCCACTCCACTCCCGTTACCCCTACAATTTCTTGCTAAGCATTGTAAGCGTGCACGTATCATTAATGTACTGTAGAGACGCGGGGTTAATGTGAACCACACACTCCAGCAGCTGAGCGTATTTCGGTTGGATGATCTTCCACAGCACGTCCACGTGGCTGTTGAGCGTCGCGTTCAGCTTCAGCGGAACGAACTGCTCCGCCATGTCCGCGCGCATGAACGTCCCCCCCGCGTAGAGCGGAAACGCCATGGTTGAGAGCGAGCGGTTGAAACTGGACCACTCGAGTTGCTCCTGCTGGAAGGTCGGCAGCTGGAGGTGGGGCGGGGGAGGGAGGGAGGGGAAGAGTGGGAAGGGGGACAAAAGAGAGAGGGAATGGAGGGGAGAGGGAGGAAGGTAAATAAAGGGAAACGCCATGGTTGAGAGCGAGCCGTTAAAGCTGGACCACTCGAGTTGCTCCTGCTGGAAGGTCGGCAGCTGGTGGTGGGGCGGGGGAGGGAGGGAGGGGAAGAGTGGGAAGGGGGACAAAAGAGAGAGGGAATGGAGGGGAGAGGGAGAAAGGTAAATAAAGGGAAACGCCATGGTTGAGAGCGAGCGGTTGAAGCTGGACCACTCGAGTTGATCTTGCTGGAAGGTCGCAGCTCGAGGGGGGGGAGGAGAAGGGGGAAGTAAATGGGGGAGGGAAAGGACAAAAACGGCGGATATGTGGGGTGGGAGGTCGGGGAGAAGTTAGGGGGAGAGGATTCGGAAAGGTGGGTGAGTGGATTCGGGATGTGACCTGCTCGCATGAGTGAGTGGGAAAGCGTGTGCAAGTGAGTGTGACGGTTAGTGAGCGACAAGGTTAGCGATCAGATGTGTGTGTAGAGAGTGAGTCAGGGGGTGAGAATACGAGGGTGAATGAGAGAGAGAATGAGTGGCCTCGTGTTTGAAAGGGAATGATCCTACCTCGGCTTTCATGGTATTTGCCATGAAGTGAGTGTGAAAGGGGTGACTCCATCAGTAAGTGAGTGCTGCCACTTACTGTTGTCTTCATGATATTCGCCATGTTGTGATAGCTGATGGAGAGATCGCCGCCGTCGAACCACGTATTGAACCGCGTGTTGGGGTTGCGGATAGAGAAGATGAACGTCATGTTGGCGTACAGATGGTCCGTTGCCATTCCGTTACCGTCGAGCATGTCCTGGTATACACTAAACTGGTTCACCGCCGCGTACTGTACACATGGAAAAAAAAAAACAAGAAAATAATGGGAAATTGGAAGATTACAAGTAGAGTGAGGTTCGAAAATTGTTACAGAAATCAACGGAGAAATGACAATTGGTGATGGGAAGGGGAAGGGCTGACGCGCTGCCGACGCGAAACAGGGCGATTGTATTCGGTAGGAAAGATCGCGAGGGAGACTTGACAAAAAATAAATCAAGCGCGTACAAATCAACGTACGTCGAAAGTGTACGTTGGTTCCGTCGGTTGGAAGACGATATAGCATACGATAGCGCCTGCGACCAGCAGCAATCCGACGATCAGCGACGAGTACGCCCAGAATGCGATCCACCACTTGCGTCGCCGGTCCGCGTCGCGCAGGTGATCAGGGTAAAAATCGTCGCAGTCGTCGTCGCCGTCGCCGCCGTTGATAGCAACGGACGCGCCTCCTCGCCCGGATCGCATGCTCCGCGCGTCTTCGTCGCCGAAGCGTGGCGACGACGGGGCGGACGACCCGGGCGAGCTGAACAGCCCCGCGCGATCGGAATGCGCGGGCGTCTGCACGAAATAAGACGCGGTGGGGCGATACGGCGACGCAGCAGGAATGGAGCTTCCGCCGACGGAACCGGGGCCCGTTCCGAACCCGTTATAGTGTCCTGGAGTCTCGACTGTGTACCCCGGGTTTTCATACTGCGGCGCGTAGTACGGCCCTCCGCCGCTGCGGTTGCTGCGTGCGGGCGAGGCACCGGGGGAGCAGTTCGAGTCGCTATATGCGTGCGACGCGGATGGCTCGCGACGCACCCACGTGGGGTTCTGGCTGCTAGAGCTGGTGGCTTTGGAGGCCTTCGGGCCGCCGTACAGCGGATTGGGTCGTGGCCCGTTGTAGGAATAATTGCTCCGTTCAGACATGGCGGCTAGTGTCTATCACGAAGCAGCTGAAACAAGAACTAGGGAGAAATGTGGAAGGAGGATATTGTGGTGAGAAGGCACTAAAGGGCGTACTAGTCTAGGTGACGTGTTGCCTGATTATGTGCCAGTGCCTGCCATGAGCTGAAAGGATGGATAGGCTGTCTTGCCCTGGGAAGTAGGGAAACGACTGCCGCTCGGCAACTACTTGGTTCGTTAGATAAATGCGGAGGTTCAACAATGGCGATTGTCACTGGCGGGGGGTAAGTTGGAGGTGGGAGGGAGGCACGGGAGGGGGAACGTGGGGGGGAGGAAAAGCACGAAAGCACAAGATGAGTCGGGCCGGAGTAATGTGGAGTGGAATTCGACGAACCCCATAGCCTTCTTCAAGATTAGTACCAATGCGGTGGAGTGCGAATTGTTGCGGTAAACGCGACTTACTTGCAATATAGAACGTTTGGGTAGGGTATCAGCAATAAGACCCTCGACTCGTTCGTGATGTGACACTGAAACCACTGACATCGGGGATCGGTTTGGGGGGGAGGTGGTCTGCGAGGCTTGGCCGGGATGAATTTGTCAAGGGGAGTCGCTCTGCGATTCACGACTCGACCTGGTTGCGAAAACAATTTCGCGTTCGTTCTCTTGAAGCATGACTTTGCTGAGTCAAGTCTGGTTACGCAAGAGTGCTCACGAACTCTGCGAAACAAAACTGTCTTTTGAACGCAGTGCCGTGTCTCTCAAGGGCGCGGGGAAACGCGAGCGAGGTGAAAATGTCAAAGCGCAAAACACGTTGGCGTGCATTCTGATTTGTTGCCGTCGCTGTTTCGCTTGGAACGACTGGTTTGCCCGAACCAAGCAGGCACTGGGAATGCAACAGAAGATGCGCAGTTTGCGAGGAAATGACGATCCGCCGTCTTTTCTTGTTTTTGATTTTATCGATCAGTGGTTTTGACTACGCAGTGCTCTGCGCTCGTTTTCAGTTCCCGCAGTCAGTTTGTTGGCATCATCGCACAAATTGAAGGTATTTCTGGTGTACAAAATATATACCCACTCGGGAAATGCAAGTAAACATGGGCAGCAAGTAACAGGGTTGATGCCGCTGTATATATACGCAAGTTAACAGGGTTGACGCATCAACCCTAAACACAATGTGGCAAGGTGTTTAGGGTTGATGCGTCCCCTGTTTGCATGCCATTCCCTAGAGGGTTTTTTTTTTGCCCCTGTAAAAATGTTTCGAGAAAACAAACTGACCGTGGGAACTGGACGCGATCGCGGAGCGATGTGCGGTCAAAACAACTGCCCATTGGAATCGAAACCTAGAAAACACGGCGTCTCGTCATTTCCTCGCAGTTTGCCCTGCCACCACCACCTCACGTGCAAACCCAGGGGCAACAAACCAGAAAAGTCCGTGGATTCCACTGGTATGGTGCGGAAAGACGGTCCGAGCCGACATGTCAGCGGCGAGTGAATCGAAGCCGCGGTGGCGGCTTGTCACCTGACCAGGGCTGGTCAGAGCGCGCTTCCCGTGCCAAACGGACATGACTGAGCGTCGCGTTAGAGGGAAGCCTCACGGCTTGCTACAAAACAAATTATTCAAGGGACCCACAATACAGTAATAAAGAAAGGTAAAGCTCAGGAGCAACAGTGTCGCCAGAACCAGTCAACGCTGGATAACAGGAGTCCAAACTGACAGAACGATTTTTCCCTGTATAGTAACACTGGAAAATTACTTGGACATGTATGAGCTTAATCATATATTATAACACCGTACACCTCAATTAGCCGATATCGTACTACCAATGGTGTGCGATACTTTCATGCACCTTTCCATGTGTGGAACCTTGTTCCCTTAAGAAGAAGCTGCGTAACGAGAAGCCACATCCTTCCAGTTGATGATCTTCCAAATACTCTTCAAGTAGTCAGGACGAACATTCTTGTACTGGAAACAGAAAAGGCCCAAAATATGCAACATTAGGGCAAAAATAATGAGATGCAAGTACTACAAATAAGTACTACAAATGAAAAATAGCACCTGCACCCATGCATTTTCAATGTCCAAATGATACCATACTCGGCTGCATGAAACATCGTGATAATAGAAGCAATATTATGCACAGGATATAAGAAGAGGGTCTTACTTGAAGGTAGTAGGCATGCTCCCACACGTCAACGCCCAATAGAGGCACGTGGCCTGTAGTCACACACGCGTCCTGATTGGCTGTCGTGACAATTGCCAGCTTCTTCCTGTCGTTGAGGCCTAACCACTGGGGGAAATGAAGGGACAGGATGACACAGTGGGAGCAAATTTGTTCTGAGAAAGTGGGACGAAGAAAACAAGAGTTTTCTTTCTCCAAGGCAGAACCACCGTATGGGGAAAGGAGGAACAAGACAGTGTGAGCATTTTTCTTTCCGTTATGATACATCCATCCAGGCCCCTGCACGCCAGCGCCAGCAGCATTGAAATCAGGAGGCAAGGGAGACAAAGCGTCCAGCGACCCAACTTGGGCACTTCAGTCAAAAGGAGTACACTCCCAAATCTATAAACGTCCCACCCGTTTCAGTCACTCACCACCCATCCGGACCCCTGCACGCCAGCGCCAGCGGCATTGAACTTTGAAACAAGGGCGTCCAGCGACCCAAACTGCGCGTCAATGGCTGCAGCTAGTGCACCCTCCGGTGGGGCTCCTCCTCCCTCCTGCAAGAACAAGCGGAGAAAGACAAAGCGAAGAGGACGCATTGGTATTTGGGTGTGTTGGAATTCCGCCCTCCAGCCAGAGGGCCCTTGGGTGGCGCTCCCCCTCCTTCCTGTAAGGGCAAGGCAAAGCGAGGGGGGAATGCAGGATTGGTATCAGGGTGTTCTCAGATTACGTCTACTCATTCTCCCGCAGTGGCTGTTCCCAAAGCACTCTCGGGCGGAGCTCCCTCTCCCTCCTGTGAACACGCAGGACGAGACAAAGGGGCGAGGAGAAACTGGTGCTAGGGTGTGTTCGGATTGGTGTTAGCCGGGCTGTGGTGGACGCAGCGGCCCACAAATAAAAAGGTGAAAATTGTCACAAATCAAGAGGATCGGGATTTCGTGGGAAAAAAAGAACGAAGGGAGAATACAGAAAATGGAGAAACCAGAAATGGAGGGAGCAGAAGTCTTACACTGATGGGAGCGAGGTTCTTCCAGAAGATGCTGTGATTCACGTGGCCTGCACGCCACGAACGGTCGCACACAACACACGTTAGCACAGTGTCGCACAAAGGCACAGTCGCACAGCCAATACCCCACGACGCACACACTAACATGTACGGCAACAACACACATGTGACGACTTACTCAATCATGACAATATGTTGAGTGGATCCGTTGAAGCATCATCCCAACATAATGCAATCCTTGCGTTTGTTATTCTGATTTAATTTATTTCGTGGCAATGCTTTTCTAAATAATGCATGCAACTCCTCCTGCTCTTGTTTCTTGAAAATTTATTCGCTCAATGCAACTCATTCTTCGCTCAATCTCGGGCTTCTCAGCTCTATCTTTTATGCGCCTCAAAAATCGTATCCGTTCTGCCTCAATCTCGATTCATCTTTTGCTAAAAGTCGCACTTAAAAACCAGCGGGCGGAATTGCTTAATAGTCGGTTAATGCATGTAGAAAACAACCGTGCTTAGTAGTACCTTCATATCCCTTCTCAATCGCCCAATTAATCTGTCGTTATTGAATTAATACCTCCCGGCTTACCTCCGCCGTTGAAGTTGATCGCTCGTTGGAGCGACACCACTGTCTCCGTGTCGCCTTTCCCCCGCGCCGCGTCCAACTGTTCCGCCGCCTTGTTGTAACCCGCCACGTAAGCAGCGTGGTGCTTCGCGTGATGTAACTGCATGATCTCGCCGCTCACCACCGGCTCCAGCGCGCCATAATCGTACGGCAGATCTGGAAGGCTCGCCACGATCGGACGACTAGCATCACTCGCTGCCGACGCCGCGAGGCCGCGACCGCCTCCTGCGCCGCCAAGTGCGGCGACTTCTGCCGGAGATGCCGCTTTGAGCGACTTTCCCGCGGAGAGGAGCTGGCGAGCGGCGATGCGCATCATTTTCCGCGAAAGGCGGCAGAAGGGAAAATGTGAAAAAGACTGAGACGAAACAGACTAAGCACGAGGCGTTGCGACGGGAGGAAACACTATCGTCAAAAAAGGAAAGAACTGACACGAGGCCAGGAGCTAGTTTTGAAAGCTAGCAACACGCTCGTGTCAACCAAAAAGTGCAGCTAATTTGCTAATGTAGCTGCCTGAAACAAATTCTGAATCTTGAGTCTGAAGTTATGGTGCTATGAATTGGTGTCATGGGTGCGAGTCACCCCCAGCCCAACACCACCGCTCCAGACGCAGACAATGCACCAGGCCCAACCGCACAAAACCGATACATTGCTGGCTTGGAACTCCAGAGAAGAAAAGGTTGGGACGCAGAAATCGCGGCTGAAGGAAATGCTTTCACCGAGGGCGTGTTCTATTTGAGAGATCGGCGCAGCAACAGAAATTCAAGAATCGGTTAAAACTGGTGCCAGTCATCTGTTTAAGTACACTAGGGTTCTTGTGTGGTGATTCTACAGAGGTGCTCTCCTACCTCGCGAGCCTTGTGTAGCTGCGGCTTATGTAGGAATTCTCAGAGGGGCCCTAATCTGGTCGTATGCAATGTATCTGTCGCTGATGTAGCCCTCTGTTCTTGGAGATCCCCCATGCATGATTCGAGTTCACGGATGCTGACGGCTTCATGGCGACACGCGGCTAACGCTGATTCACTCCAGCAACTCTCGACATTAACCAGCACCAACATCAACACCAGCAACCTAACAAAGAAACACAAAGCATTCTGAAATTGATGACTTCATAACTCAATTAAAAATAAATTGCCACTATTTGAGGGTACCTTCCGACTTTGTGTTAGACTTTCCACTACTCCATCACGTGTTTATTTCCACTAATATATAGCATTCCTGGAATTCCCGAACAACCAACCCCTTAACAAGCTACCGCTTTAGACTCTACGAGTGTGATTTTCCTATTATAGTGTTAAGAGAGGAACTTAGGAGATTAGGTTAGAACATGACTAGCGAGAGGATCGAGAGGGAGGGGAGCAAGGGTTTCACCAAAGAGATTCAATAATGAGAAACAGTACATGGATATAGGCAAGGAAAAGGAGGTACACCACATGCAGCAAATAACTACAAACACTACAGTCTACACTGTAGGCAGTTATACAGCATATAGATAAAGATATTCCAACATATAGAATGCAGCCTCCGATGCCATTGGATTTGCGGCGACCAAACTTGTTCGGTAGTTACTTGTTACAATGTCAAGATTGCCATCTTGTTATGATTTTGCACAAGTGATATTCGGCTCATGGTTGTCTTGCAAACCTTTGGTATGCCAATAAGTCAATGGTTGTATCACGTCACATGCAATAGTACAACGTTGTCCTTCGGGGTTTTCGTGAGAGCACGTTGCACGAATCATGGGTGTTTCACAAAAGGCATCAAACATCCATTGATTTTCAACAGACTTCGAAAACCGCATGGGCCACACGCGTCAAATTACATTTGTATGTGTAGGCTGTAGTGGGATAGCCTCTAGTGAGTACAACACTTTAGGTCAAACCTAGTACTTGTACTCATCCTTGCTTGCTAATAATTAATGTCATAACATTATAGCTTATACATTTGTGTAGGCTGTACTGGGGTAGTCCATAAGGGGTACAACCCAATTAGGGATAGTACTTGTACCCAACTGTTTGCTAGTTCATTCATTCTCGTTTGTAACTTTGACATGGAATCAGAGCAGGTTCCTTGGGCCCACCACCTGCTACGCTGCTAGTACCCCGTTTCCCTAGGCCCGTCGCGCCCCTAGGCCCGTCGCGCCCCTTAAGCCCGTCGCGCCACCCCACGGCCCCTTGGCCCGTCGCGCTCACGGCCCCTTCGCCCCTAGCCTGGCGCCCCGTAGACCCGTTGACCCCCAGCTCGTGGCCCCTAGCCTGTCGACCCGTCGACCCTCGACCCGTCGCCCTAGGCCCGTCACCCGCGGCCCGTCGCCCGTCGCCACCTAGCCACGTCGCCCCGCGGCCTGTCCCCCGTTGCCACCTAGGCCCCTCGCCCCTCGTGACGCACGGCCCCCCTCCCCCCTACTGCGACCCCCGGCCCGTCGCCCCTAACCTGTCGACCCCGCGGCCCGTCGCCCCTATCCCGTCGACTCCCGGCCCGTCGCCCTAGGCCTGCCACCCGCGGCCCGTCGCCCGTCGCCACCTAGCTACGTCGCCCCGCGGCCAGTCGCCCGTCGCCACCTAGGCCCCTCGCCCCTCGTGACGCACGCCCCCCCCCCCCCTACCGCGACCCACGGCCCCTTCGCCCCTCGTGACGCCATAGGCCTGTCGGGGCCCCTAGGCCCCTCGCGACCCACGGCCCCTCCCACGATCCACAGCCCCTAGGCCCCTTCGCCCGTCGCGCCCCTCGGCCCCTAGGCCCGGCCCCTCGGCCCCTTGGCCCCTTGGCCCCCCCCCCCCCCAGGCATCTCGGCCCCTCGGCCCCTAGCCTCGGCCCCTAGGCTCGGCCCCTCGGCCCCTTGGCCTCGTGTTTGGCCCCTCGGCCCCGCCCCTTGGCCCCTCGGCCCCTAGTCCCCTCGGCCCCTAGGACCTTTGGCCCCTCGACCCCTCGACCCCTAGGCCCTCGTGTTTGGCCCCTCGGCCCCTAGCCTTGGCCCCTCGGCCCCTTGGCCCCTTAGCCCCCAGGCCCCTTGGCCCTTCGGCCCCGCCACTCTCGTGTTTGGCCCCTCGGCCCCTAGCCTCGGCCCCTCGGCCCCTTGGCCCCTTGGCCCCCAGGCACCTCGACACCTCGGCCCCTTGGCCCCTCGGCCCTCACCCTCGTGTTTGGCCCCTCGGCCCCTAGGCCCCTTGGCCCCTAGGCCCCGTGTTTGGCCCCTCGGCCCCTCGGCCCCTAGGCCCCTTGGCTCCTTGGCCCCTAGGACCCTTGGCCCCTAGGCCCCTCGGCCCCACCACCCTCGTGTTTGGCCCCTCGGCCCCTAGGCTCCTCGGCCCCGCCCCTTGGCCCCTTGATTACTGCTGCTACTACTGCTCCTGCTACTGCTGCTCCTGAGTACTGCGCCACTATGGCTTCGCTTCGAGTCCTAGCGTTCGATCACGAGGGCAGACCGGTTGCATTTGACACGTGGCACAACGATCTGCAACTGTACCTACTGAGCGATATTAAGGACAGTGTCTCGCTGTTTGACCACGTGTCCGGTGTCGCTCCAGCCCCTCCCGCCACAGCTGACGGTTCGACTCGTTCTCAGTGGCTTTCTCGTGACGCTACTGCCCGCTTAGCCATTCGCAACTACCTGCCGGTGGCCGAATGTACCCACTTTGGACAGCACAGGACAGCACAGGCCCTGTACGACGCTGTCGTTGCTCGCTACTCCTCCCCTGCCACTGCTGCTCTAGGTACACTGCTACTGCCCTACCTCTTCCCTGAGCTGTCGGCTTTTGCCACCGTAGCAGACCTGGTTAACCACCTGTGCACTAGCGACGCTCGCTACCGCGCTACCGTCTCTGCTGAGTTCCTTGCCACGAACCAGCCCCCCATGTTCATCACCCTCTACTTCATAGTCTCTCGCCTCCCTGACTCTCTTCGCTCTGTCAGGGACCACTTTCTCTCCCTTGACCCCACCTCCCTCACTGTTGACCTCCTCGAGCAGCATCTCCTCACAGCTAAGACTAGTGCAGTTGCTGTGGGTGCTGCTCGTGGCACTTCGCGCCCGCCCTTCTTTGAGGGGTGCTCCCCCTCTCCCCTTTCCCCCTCCTTCGCCTCTGCTGCTGCTGCAGACGTCTCTGTTCCTGAGGACGTAAGTGCTGCTTCGACTAGTGCGAAGCGCCAAAGCAGCAAGGGCAAGCGTGGCCGGGCTGGTGGAGGTGGCAGCAGTGGTGGTGGAGGTGGCAATGGGAGCGGTGGTGGGGGCAGCGGTGGAGGTGGTGGAGGCAGTGGAGGTGGTGGCGGCGGTGGGACTAGTGGCGGCAGTGGGGGCTCTCGTGGCGGCGGTGGAGGCAGCGGAGGGAGTGGCGGCAGTGGAGGCGGTGGGACTGGTGGTGGCAGGTCTAGACCTCGGCGTGGAGGCCCTGGTGGTGGTCAGCGACAGCAGCAGCAGCGTCGCAGCGAGACCCAGTCGCCCCAGCAGCTCCGTGAGTGGTTGGTTCAGCGTGGGACGGGTGGGGGTAGTGAGACCTGCCCGTATGTCATTCGCACAGGTGTCCGTGCGGGCCAGACATGCAGGAAGTTTCACACTGAGCACCACTGCTTCTCCCGCCTTAACGACGCCTGGCGTGCTGAGTTTGGTGACGACGTCGAGCGCCCTCGCTGGACGGATTTGCTTACGTCGGGAGTTGCAATCTTTGACCTAGACTATGATGCTATTATCTCTGCCATGTATGCTTTGTCTTTTAGTGCTAAGGGTGACTGTTACCGGTGTGTGCCACCTGACCCGGGTATAGCGGCTGCTGCTCTAGGTGCTAGTGCGTGTGGTACTCCCCCTGGTACTTCGTCTGCTGAGGCCTTGCACACCTTCACGTTGGACTCCGGCGCCTCGCGCTGTTTCTTTCGTGACAGCACCACTCTCACTCCTCTCCCTGCACCTGTCCCGGTCAGACTGGCTGACCCCTCTAGGGTCCCGGTCATGGCCAGTTCCTCCACTGTCCTCCCGTGTCCGGCGGTTCCGTCCGGCTCACTGTCAGGTCTTCACCTCCCCTCCTTCTCTACGAACTTGGTGAGTACCGCTGCCCTTCAGGATGCGATGGTCACTACCACCACTCCTGGGGGTCAGCGTGTGTCGATCTGCACGTGCAC